CATTTTTATTTGCTCCTGACAGCAAATCAAGAGATGTTTTGCATCCTCCCACCCAGCACAACATTTTGTTGCCATAGGCTGGAGCTGATGTTTGTGTGTGTTTTCACAATGCCAAATGCGACTATAGTGGCACTGTAGGTTGCTTAGATAATTGAAAAATTAGTTTCTGTCACCATTTTAAAGGTACAATTTCTTATTTTATATACTGGATAAAAAGAAGGTATACCCTATGTGTATTATCAAATCTTGTTTCTCTGCTTTTCGTTTTTTATCTGCATCCCTCCTCCCCTGAGTCTCTCTGCACAGTAAGAATTCTATGGAGATGTCTTTCTTTTGTTTTTTATAACAAAGGTAGGCACAGGTCTGAATAATCAATAGGGAAAGAGGGAGTAGCAGCATCTTATCATCTGCTATTGATCACTATTTACAGTAGGCCCTCAAGTGGTGGGTGGCTCCAGGGAGCAACAGATTGGAATAGGGCAACTAGAAAGACAAGCAATGAAAAAAACTATTTTGACAAGTAAAACTCTTTACAAGACAGATCACAGTGGGCAAGAGTTGAGAGGAAAAGAATGTGTATGTAGTAAGTAAACCGTTATTAACTGCAATACTAGTGATAGTCATGGTGGTTGTTCTTAAAAATACAGAAAGTCTAGGCATTGTGAATTATGCAAGTAAAATACAACACAAGATTTGACAATTAAAATACCTATGATGTCATCACACTTCCCAATGTGCTATGTTTCCTAATAACATGGTCACACTAAAAAAACAAAACACCTTTTTCCATAAATTACTACTCTATCATCATTAAACTGGAATTACATAGGCGATTAACTTATTTTGTCACTTAGAGATTTAATTACTTGTTGACAGTCATCTCATTTACAGCTCACTGAAATCAGTGTGATGGTAATGAGACTGCTGCCAATAAGCAGTTAAATCTTATAGTAGTAGAGATTTAATCATCTGTATATCCTAGTTGTATGTGGGAAAAGTCTGGGGAAATTTTTGAGAACGGCTTGGGTGGGACTTGGGTGTCCCAGTTTCTAAGTACCATTTTTTGCCATCCAAGGGACATGCCAGGGAGACTAGGGATTCTACATTCCAACTCCACACACTCCATCCAGCATTAATGTGCCAGCACTCCCTGTCTCAGACTAGTAAAAGGTGGTAAGTTGACCAGTCACCCTTCACAAGGAGAGAATGCCGCAATTAATGGTCAAAATACCAGGTCCTATGCGATAATATACAATATTAGTTCAGCTTTAAGAGCCTATTCACATTCATCATTAATACAACACAAGAGTTTTCATGCATTGTGTTTGGTAGATTATTCAAAATAAAACAGCCGTCACCACACTTTCAGCACATGAAAAAAGTAGGTCCTGCATGTTTTTTTTCCCAGCAACAGGGCTAACCATCTCACAGAGCAAATGCAATTGTGTATTGCAGAGTGCTACAATGCAGGTATGTTGCAGCACACTGTTGTGCATTGGGGTGCATTTAACCTTTCATTTCAATTAATCAAATTCATAATTTACAAATACATAGCTTTCAAATGTTGATTCCTTCATTTACAGAGTCATTTTGTGTGAATAAAGAACTACATTGAAATGCAATCTGTCACATAGCTGCCTAGGGCATTCCAATGACAAGGCTTGGACTGTAGTAGCGGCAACCTTGGTATTGCCTGTGGGTCTGAAAGTATCTGAGAGCTCACACTAGGAAGACATGAAAAAAAAAAAACGTTTTATACCAGTATTACATTAATTCATTCTAAAATCATTAAATGTATTTTAAAAATACTTCTGCTATTACTGCTTGATATATGCGTTTGCATTCTCCCCTGCACTGTTAAATTTAGACTTACATGCAGGCACGATTCCGTTGCTGTCAGGCATCATAATCACACCATGCTAGTTCTTCATTAATTATATATTGTATAAAGGTTTCCATGCTTTACACTTAAACCCTTTACACTTAAAGTGGTTCTAAAAGCTTAAGGTGTTTTACCTTCATGCATTCTATGCATGAAGGTAAAAAAAAAAACCTTCTCTGTGCAGCATCACCCCTAACCCCATCTAATACGTACCTAAGCCCCTTCTCAATCCTGCGATGTGCACTGTAGTCTTGGCTATCCCAGGACTTCCCCTCCTCATTGACTGGGACAGAAGTGGGAGCCATTAGCTCCCACTGCTGTCAATCACAGCTTGTGGGCCAATGAGAAGAGGAGAGGGGCGGGGCTGAGACGTGGCTTCGTGTGTAAATGGACACACTGAGCATCAGGTGCCCCCATAGCAAGCTGCTTGCTGTGGAGGCACCCAACGTGAGGGAGGGGCCAGAAGCACCAGTGGGGGACCCGAGAAGAGGAGGATCCGGGCTGCTCTGTGCAAAACCACTGCACACAGTAGGTCAGTATAGACATGTTTGTTATTTTAAAAAAAGCCTTTAGAATCATTTTAACTTCCCCTGACATTTAGTGTATATAAGAGCAAAACTTTTACATTTTGGATAGAATGAAAATGGATTAGATCAGCAATTTACGTTTTTATTGCATTGTATGGTATATAACGCCAATATACAGAACTATTGTCAAACAGAAAAAATTAAATAAAAAGAAGAAAATTAATATTATTTATCATTCACAGAAAGGCCAATCCTATGCAAAAATCTGACTGAAGTCCATTATTTATTCTTTTCTTTAACTGCTTTCCCTCCGCCCTATAGCAGAAATACTGCTGCAGGGCAGCGAAAATCACTTATATATATATATATATGTGATTTTGCAGTTCCGGGTTGGGGGCACGTGCAAGCCCTATCTGCGCCAACATTCATGGCCTCGGCTGTCAATCACCGGGTCCCGGCTGGTGACTACTCGCCGACACCCAGTGATCGCCGAGTATCTCCGACACCCAGTGATCGCAGAGTATCTCCGACACCCAGTGATCGCCGAGTATCTCCGACAGGGGAGAGACCTGTGTATAAACAACACAGATCTCTCCCCTGTCAGCTTATGCACACTGCTTTGTATGGCACTTACATAGCAGTGCCACAAAAAGCGGTATGCTTACAGTGGAAAGCGCACACACAGCATACTGTAAAACAGCACACAGTTAACCCTTTGATTGCCCCAGATGTTAACCTCTTTCTGCCCAGTGTCATTAGTACGGTGTCAGTGCTTTTTATTAGTGCTGATCACTTGGTGTCACTGGGGATGTCAGTGACACCAAGTCAGTTCCCCCAGTGTCAGAATGTCTGCCGCAGTCCCGCTATAAGTCACTGATCGCCGCTATTACTAGTAAAAACGTTTTTTTACCAAAGATGTCGCAGAATACATTTTGGCCTAAATTTATGATGCCGCCATTACTAGTAAAAAAAAAAAAAGTAAAATAAATTCCAGTATATACGGTATACCGCCCTTTGTAAAACAATTCATTTAATTTTTTGGGTTTTTTTTTTGCAAAGACATAGCAGAATACATTTTGGTCTAAATTTATGACAAAATTTTTTTTTTTTTTTTCATTGGACATATTTAATAGCAAAAAGTCAAAAATATAGTTATTTTTCTCAAAATTGATGGTCTTTTTTTGTTTATAGTGCAAAAAATAAAAAAACACACAAGCAATCAAATACCACTGAAAGAAAGCTCTATTTGTGGGGAAAAAAGGACATACAGTAAATTTAATTTGGGTACAACATTGCATGACCGTGCAATTGTCAGTTAAAATGATGCAGCGCCGTAACGCAAAAAATGGCATGGTCAGGAAGGGGGGTAAATCTCAGGAGGGCAAGTGGTTAATAAAAGATGCCATCGCTGTCTTCTGTGTCCCTCAATGATTTTTCTTTGTAACCATTGTCAATGTTCTGTTGACAACTTTCTAACATAGTAATTCCAATCACTTTGGGGGTATTGATTCTGTTTTGCTGTTGCATATCCAGAACAGGAAGTAAAGAAATCTAACAGACAGAAAAAAATAACTTGTTCTGTGCTAGAAAGCTCTGAACCAATAGCATTTTGGCCCAATGCCTAAACCAGTGGTCTCCAAACTGTGGCCCTTTGCTTGCCTTTATCTGGCCCTTGGGGAACTGTTCCTGCTAATGGCAAGTGGGGCATGATTCCATCCGCTGACACTAATGATGGGGCACTATTCCTTCCATTAACACTAGGGCATTTTCTACTCACACTGGCCACAGTGTGGCCCCCTCAAAGTCTAAAGGATCGTAAACTGGCCCTTTGCTTAGAATGTTTGGAGACCCCTGGCCTAAACCATTCAGTGCCAAGATTCTTATACCTGGGTAATGTTGCTATATGTTTTGGATTAAAGCGGTATTAAATCCAAAAGTAAACATTTATTATAATGGAGCTTACCAATTCTTGGATGTGATGGCTGCATTGGTTTTCTTTTTTAGTCTTTCTTTCCTTTATTTGCACCTGGTGATCTGACCAGTAAGTCTGTTTTTTAACAGAAAAAAACCTGCAGATGTAGCATTTAGAGTGATGAGACAAACCATTTACCACTGACAGGGGTGATCTGTTTTATTTATTTCTGTAAATCTTTTATTCCAAAAGGGAAAAAAAACAACCTTTTTGCTTAAACTGATTGTAAAGTGTGATCTGAAGTTTATTAGTGTATCTATCTGCTAGTACATCTAACACTCCCCTCCCCCTAGACTGACAATGCTACTGTCCTAATGTGCCCCCTGTGCTCCTTCATCCAGAGCGTGGGCTGTAATACAGGAGGTGTTACTGGTCAGATCACCAGGTGAAACAGAGGGGAAAAGCCTAAAAAAATAAAACGAATGCAGCCACCACACCCAAGGATTGCTAAGCTGCAGCATATTAGATTTTTGGGTTTAACCTCCTTAGCGGTTTTCCCGAGTGTAGCTCGGGGTAAAATTTGAGTACCAAGAGTGGTAACCCCGAGCTACACTCGAACTTACCATGTGGCGCTGCAGGGAGTCCCTGAAGCACTTACCTTGTCCTTCGCTCCCGCGATGTGTCCCCTGCAGTGTCCCCGGCCATCTCCTCTGGCCGATGCCGGCATCTGGCTTCCGTGTTCCGGTCCCTGTGACGTCGGGACGTACGGTGGCAAATTTGAAATTTTTAAAAAACGTCATTTTTGCTGTCATTGCTGTTTCAATGCATTTCACATACATTTTGTCCCTACTGCTTTGTCCTGTGCCCTGCCAGCATTTTGACTGTTCTTTCTGCCTGGAAACTTAGAAAAGTCCATGGCGTCCAAAAAGAGTCCCTTTACGTCAAAAGCGGTTTTAGACCAGCTAGAGAACAGCGATAGTAAAGCAGAACCACTTGCAGAATTGAGTGATAATGATTCGTGGGGAAATTCGTCATCAGACACTGAAAACGATTTTGCGACTTTGCTCAGCGATGTGCGAACTTGCCTCTGTATTTCAAATTTCAGTGTTTTTGGTTTGATTATATTATTGAATTAAATTTATTATTATATTATTATTTTTTATGATTATTTATTCAATTATAATTTATGATTTCGTGTTTCAAGTTTTATCATATCTGGAATGTTTACTAGACTCTTGTTCGTACAGATTTCAGTGAGTTATTCCTAAAAATTACAGCCTACAATAAAAAAATACATATTTCCATGCAAAAAAATGGTACCGCTTTCAGCACAAAAAATCGGAAAGAATCATACCGCCGAGGAGGTTAATACCACTTTAAATAACCCTTTGAATATAAAGTGACAGAACCTCTTAAATTATTAGTTCACCTTTACAGAAAATCTATAAAGGTGACCTAACAGCGGACCCCCTCCCCATTTCCCCCAGTTCACTGTACTTACCTCCTGCAATCGTAAGCTATCAGGGCTCCCATAAGCCGCTCCAGTGGCCTGGGGATTTAAATCTCCTCTCTGTCCAGTTTTGCCAAGGACAGACCAGTTGATTCTAATTGGTCAGCATCGTCACATCAGAATATGTCTGGTCTATCCTGGCAGCACTGGATGGAGAGGAGAGAAAGCAGTGGGAATTTCAAATCCCTCGACTGGTGGAGCGCTGAAGTATGTTCCATCATTAAAATAATTAGTCCATGTGTTTGTATGTAGCTCTATCCAATAATTAAGGCAACTCTAAATATATTGCTACTTTCTCTGTTTAAATTCACTTGTGGATGGTTGATTTTAGAATGTTTATTGTCCAAATATATTTTTATCTTTAGTATTTTATTTATTTATTACAGGTACTTATATAGCGCCATCAATTTACGCAGTGCTTTACACACACACATCACATTTTTGTAAATATTTTATTCTATCTTTTCATGTGACAACACTGAAGAAATGACACTTTGCTACAATGTAAAGTAGTGAGTGTACAGCTTGTATAACAGTGTAAATTTGCTGTCCCCTCACAATAACTCAACACACAGCCAGGGGCGGACTGACAACTCATGGGGCCCCCGAGCAATAGGGGATCATGGGGCCCCTGTGTCCTTGTCCAAACTCAAAAAAGCCAATGAAAAAGGTACCAGGGGCATCTCATGGAGCCCCCTACTGACCCCGGGGCCCTCGGGCAGTGCCCGAGTTTCCAAATGGTCAGTCCGCCCCTGCACACAGCCACTCACTTTTGTTGCCAGCGGTTTAGACATTAATGGCGTGTTGAGTTATTTGGAGGGGACAGCAAATTTACACTGTTATACAAGCTGCACACTCACTACTTTACATTGTAGCAAAGTGTCATTTCTTCAGTGTTGTCATATACTGTGTATATATATTTATTACATTCACATCTGTCCCTAACCCTCAAGGGGTGTACAATCTAATGTTCCTAACTTACATTCATACATACACATACTAGGAACAATTTTGGCAGGTTCCAATTAATCTAGAAAGCAGCATGTCTTTGGAGTGTGGAAAGAAACTGGAGTACCTGGAGGAAACCCACGCAGACACAGGGAGAAACATGCAAACTCCAGGCAGGTGGTGCTGTGGTTGGGATTCGAACCATTGACCCTAGTACTGCCAGGCAGAAGTGCTAACCATTTGTGTGAAAATGTAAAGCCCTAATAGAATAATATCATTTTTAATAAGGAATCTTACCAACCACAGCTGGTTTGAAAATGCAGACTTGAGTTTTCTGCCACATTTTCTATAAGGAGATATTTTTCATAGATATGCATTTGCATTGCTCAAATATAAATGAAAAAGCAATAGTGTTCCTTCAAGCCTCATTTGAACTTGAAAACTACATGCACTTTGTCTAAACTCTTGACATTCTTTGTATTCTGCCTGAAGTCAAATGATGGCATTATCTTAATTAGAAGACATGCACTTGCTCAGAGATTGTATAGATCTTGAATTTGCATTTCTAATTAGCTTATGTTATAAAAATGAGTACATGAGAGGGATTATGTTTGATTATTATGAGGACTTAAAATAGCTTTGACGTATAGAGTAGGCACTGAATTGAAGTCAGCCACTGTTTTTCGTACATCATAGTTTTTCAAATGGTCCTGTCTGAAGTTCATCCAACCCTGACATCAGGCATGTAGCAGATGTATTGGTACACTCAGTTCAATTTCCTGCGCATTACCTTTGCCCTAGCCAGCACATGCTCTATGTCTGAAGGGTCTTGCACCATAAAAAAAATCATAACTGCTCAGTAATATTTAGACCTAGTCTTATGGAAGAACTTGCCACATATAGAATTTCATTCTTTTTAAGAAACGAAGGCCAGACGAAACATCATAGAGTGAACTTTTTCAAATTCATTAGCTTACAGACAATATATAGTGGTTGGATGTACATTTTTTAATATTTCATTTGTTTTTCTTTGTGTTCTTTTCTGCTTTGCTAAAGCAATTCTGCAGTTCAGAACTCTAGAGCTCAAGCTAAAATATTCATACAAATGTGGAGTCAGCTGTGTTCTACCTTTACAAAACTATAATGCCCTGTTACTCTACTGTCATGGGCACAACTTGTATTGTTTATTTAACAATATACAAATTTTATATATAGGGAACAAGAGAGAACATCAGTTTTAAAATGCATAAATGTAAAAATGATATAAAAAATTCACTCCATGATATTTTGCCATTAAATGGATTCTTCATTGCCAGGGTCATTTATAGATTTCCAGAAATATATCCCTGCCCATTCCTTTAATATCCATATCTTGAGAACCTTAATCCCTTTCCGCCGGTTCCTCTAGGCCCTTTAAGAGGTTTCAGGTGCTTGGAGGTGGAGGCGGCCATGTCAGTCATATGACCTCCATGATTGGCTGTCACAGTGGTCACATGAATGGAAAGCTCCCAATCCCTCCCTTTATATTGTCTCTTCCTGCCTGTGTTTCTGGGCTCTGCTGTTTTCCCCCTATGGTGAAATGGGTCCCAATGGCATTTCCTCTTCTGAATAGATTCCTGAAGGGTTGCTGTGACATGCTTACGTCAAGCTTCCTTCTCTGGATGGGTACGATCTCCACAGCACCCATTCGCAACCTGCCTACAACCTCTCCGATGTTAGTACAGCGATTTCTCCGCCGAGCTATTGTGTTCTGATAGGGGGGCTGCCCCTACTGCAAAAACACACCGGTCAGCACCCGCAGCCGTTGGCTGCCAGCACTGATCAGATGCTGATTTGCTGGCTGCTGGACAGGCTAGTAGTACACACGGGTGGAATGTCAGCTGGTTTCTGTCGAACCAATATTTTGCTTGTGTGCACAGGCCTTAAGGGTCCAAAGTGGGTAAGATTTTGGAGTTTAGGAAGCTGAACTGTAGGATAATCTAATATTGTCTAAATACAAGAGGCATGTGCATTATTACTGGGATCATGGTGTGCTTTGTGTAGTCATTTCAGATCTGGGAAGTAATTTGGCAGCACAGTGGCTAAATGGTTAGCACTTCTGCCTGGCAGTACTAGGGTCGTTGGTTCAAATCCCAGCCATGGCACTTCCTGTGCCTGTGTGGGTTTCCTCGGGTACTCCGGCTTCCTCCCACACTCCAAAGACATGCTGATAGGTTAATTGGATCCTGTCTAAATTGGCCCTAGTATGTGTATGTATGAATAGGAGTTAGGGACCTTAGATTGTACACCCCTTGAGTACCTGAAATAAATAAATAATCCAGTGTGAAACTTTACCTCTGTGCAGGGGCTTCCTGCAATAAAGACCAGTTGCTGCTGCTCTGTCTACTTGTAAGGGGTGACTGATTTTGTATCCATCTCCTCCTGTAGTGGGTGGACCTGTTAGGTTCTTTCTACAGCTCTGTTTTCTGCACAGACTTACAGTATAGTGATGATGTCACTGCATGTTTAGCTAGGTAATACCTGGATTTGGCACAAAGTGGTCTTATATCCTTGTGGCTATTGGAGGATATATATTTAAATAAATGTTTTCATGCCAAGAGTTCAGCTTTAGGTTCCATGCACATTGGGCGTTAATAACGCTGGTAACGTTAGCTGTGTAAAGTCACGTTAAAACGTGAGTTTTTCAGTGTTTTTTAGCATTACGGTATTGGCGTTAAGCTGCGTTTTGCCGATTTTTTTTGCTTTTTTTTCATGTTTTTCATTTTTCAAGTTTTTGTGCTGACCCCCCCCCCCCCCCCCAAAAAAAAAATTGTTTCTTTGTCAACAAAAAGTAAACAAAAACGCTAATTTGCCGTTTCTTACTACGTTTTTCAGTGTTTTTACAGCTAAAGAACTCCTCTAGAAACCCACTAGGTCTGGGGTTTTTTTCCAGTCACAAAACATTGATTACAGTCTGTGTGCATGGACACATAGGATAACATGCTGGGGAGTTTACTGGCTGCAGAGAAAAACATCAAAAGCCAAAAACAGCAGCTGTAAAAATGTCTAGTGTGCATGAGGACTTAAAGCGGTATTAAGCCCAGAACAAAAAATGTAATATCTTGAAGTTTACTAATCATTAGATGTGGTGGCTGCATTTGTTTTGTTTTTTTTAGGCTTTTCTCCTCTGTTTTCACCTGGTGATCTGCCCATTAACACACCTCCAGTATTAGAGTGCCCCCACTCTGGATTAAAGGGCACCTTTGGGCAGCAGCGTTGTCAGTCTGGGGGGAGGGTAGTGTTAGATGAACTAGCACATTTAGATGCAGTAAAAAGCCAAACTTCAGATCTTACTTTTAAGACATTACAGCAAAACATTTTTTTTCTTTTTGGAATAATGGTTTTACATAAAAATAAAAGCTGATCATTGTAAGCACTCCTATCAATGTTAAATGGCTTGTCTCATTCCTGTAACTAAGGCCCCTTTTACACGAGTGTTAATTTTTTTTATCAGTTCAGTCACGTTTTTGCCAAGAAAAAAACGAATCAGTTCACATCAGTTTTTAATCAGTTCACATCAGTTTTTATCAGTTCACATTAGTTTTTCATGAGTTCAGATCAGTTTTTCACCAGTTCACATCAGTTTTTCATCAGTTTACTTTCGTTTTTCATCCACTTACATCTGTTTTCATCCATTTACATCCATTTTTGTCCGTTTTGTTCAGTTTTTTGTCCATTTACATCCGTTTTTTCGTCCATTTGCATCCTGTTTAGTCCATTTACATCCGTTTTCTTCAGTTTGTTTTTTTAATGGAAGAAAAATAGGATTTTCTTCCATTCAAAAAAAAAGGATGCGGACGGATGTAAACAGTTGATCATCCGAATGTTCACATCCACTAGTCCATAGAAACACATGGGTGTCCGTTTTTTAATCCGTAAACAGACAAATGAAAAACGGACATACAGAACGCTCATGTGAAAGGGGCCTTACACATGTGCAAGAAAGCTTGTTCTTTAATAAAACAAAATACTTACTGGCTGGATCACCAAATAAAAATAGAAGAAGAAATCCTAAAAAAAGAAAACAAATACAGCCATTACATGTAAGAATTGGTAAGCTGCAATAATATATACAGTATTTGCTTTTTGGTTTAATACTTCTTTAATCATGATAAAGACATTCACATTTCCTATGAAAAAGACTAATACAATTACTGTTGTGGGAGGTGTCAGCCGTGTAATGGGACTATCTGATGATTTACCAATTGCAGTAAATGAACTTCTTGTCTGTGACTTGGGGCATGTATGCTGTGTATGTGTTATGAGAAGGAAATATTGTTTGCAGCATATTGTCTCATTAATTTTTATGCTGAAATTAAATATTCACACACATTGTGGCTCCTTGCTGCTTAAATGTACACTCCAAGTAAGATTGATAATTAATTCTTAAGATGCATACAGTTAGCACACTCTGCTCATTCAGTACTTTAGTTTTTCATCTAGGTAATGTTGTGATGCACTCATTTACCATAGTCCCATTTTGACAGTAATCTAATGATCTGAGAACCCCTGCTTTTGAAGCAGCGGAGGTATCCCCAAACACAACCACTGCAGGATCCATGCTTTTTTTTCATGTACAAAAAATTCTAATGTAAAAACCTGCTTTGATAGCTTGGTGGTGCTTGATGATACAAGAAAGCAGAGAATGAGAAAGCTGTGCAACACACTGGGGTTGTTTTACTAAAACCGGAGAGTGCAAAATATGGTGCAGCTCTGCATAGAAACCAATTGACTTCCAGCTTTTATTGTCAAAGTCTAACTGAACAAGCTGAAATTAGAAGTTGATTGGCTACCATGCAGAGCTGCATCAGATTCTGCACTTTCTAGTTTTAGTAAATCAACCCCAATATGCATATTATTAATATTATACAGGATTTATATAGCACAACAGTTTGCTCAGCGCTTTACAATATAACGGGAGACAATACAGCAACAATACAGTTCAATACAAGAGGGAAAGGATACCCAATAATCTTCTAAGGTGGTTTCTGAATTCCAGCTGCATAGGATACAAAGATCTCATCTGGGTTGAGTGAACTTTCTAACGTTAGCAGAGCTGCAGTGTTTGATCAATAGCATTAGTAGCCCACTGACCCGTTAACTTGTTGCCTGGGATTACTCTTCTTCTTTGTATTGTGTAGTACATTCTTAGGCTTCATGTACACTGCAGCTGAAAAACTCACGTTCAGGAGCTTTTCTGCGTTTTTTTCAGCAGCCCCTGAACTCTCCCTAATGGTTTCCTATGTGTTCATGTACACTATGTCGTTTACAGGCAGTTGAGTTTACAGTCGGTTTTTTTGAACGCACAAAACTTGTGTCCAGGAGTAGATTTTATCAGCATTTCAAACGCGTGTAAACACAGCTAACCGTGTTTATATATGTTTGCGTTTTAGAGGCGTTTTTTTTAACTGTTCCGTATCCAAATGCTGTCCAGAGCCTGTTTTCATCATCAGAAATGCATGCAGAGCGTTTTCCATGTATTCAAATGGACCCGGTACACCAGCGCAGTCAGTTCCAGGTTTTCTGTGAAGGAAAAAATGGTAGAACGTGTGCCGCATTATGCTCATGATGGGATCCATAGTGAATACAACCAGAAAAGACAGGTCATCTCAACACATACTGCTCTCTCTGCTTCTTTTCTCTCTATTTCTCTCAAAATGTCTGAAATAGTAAAGTTTTTACTGTTTTTCAGTGCATTCTGTGCATTTTGGAAGGTCTCCTGAGTTATCTTAACCTCCCTGACGGTATTCCCGAGTGTAGCTCAGGGTAAAGTTTCAGTACCAAAAGCGGTAACCCCGAGCTACACTCAGGCTTACCATGCGGCGCTGCTTTCGGCATCTGTTCACTTACCTTGTCCTGCGCTCCCGCGATGTCCCGCCTGCAGTGTCCCCTGTAATGTAATCCGGCCGATGCCGGCATCTGTCATCTGGGTTCCGTCCCCTCCGATGTCGGGACGTACGGGGGACGGAACTGGCGGGAAATTTGAAAATGACAAAAAGTGACATTCACTAAAATCACATAGTAAAACATTACTGTATCAAACCATTTCACATATATGTTGTCCCTAGTGCTTTGTCCTGTGCCCTGCCTGCATTTTTACTATTCTTATTGCCTGGAAACTGAGAAACGTCCATGGCGTCCAAAAGGTGTCCCTTTAGGTCAAAATCGGTTTTAGACCAGCTAGAGATCAGCGATAGTAAATCAGAACCACTTGCAGAATTGAGTGATAATAATTCGTGGGGAAATTCATCATCAGACACTGAAAACAATTTTGCGACTTTGCTCAGTGATGTGCGAACTTGGCGCTATATTTCAAATTTCAGTGTTTTTGGTTTGATGACATTATTGAATTAAATTTATTATTATATTATTTTTTATGATTATTTATTAAGTTATAATGTATGATTTCGTGTTTCAAATTTTAACATACCCGGGATGTAGACTCTTGTTCAGACAGATTTCAGTGAGTTATTCCTAAAAATTACAGGCCTACAATAAAAAAAATACATATTTCCATGCAAAAAAATGTACCGCTTTGAGCACAGAAATATGGACATAATCAGACCGCTAGGGAGGTTAAAAAAATGCTTCTAAACACAAACGTTCATAAACGCTCGTGGTATGCAAACGTGGCTAAACAAACGTATTATAAACGTATTATAACCTACGTTTTCCAGCAGTCAGTTGCCATCGTTCAGAAGTGTTTTCCAAACGTCCCATGTAAATGGAGCCTAAGTCTCAGGTTAAAGCGGTAGTAAACCTCAAGAAAGTAAAAATAATAAAAAAAAAAGTCCACTGCAAGGTAATGTCATAATGTGCTAGTATGTATCGCATATTATACATTATGTAACGTACCTTCGTTACGAAGCCTTCCAGTGGTGCGCTGTCGCCACTGATACGGCTTCCATCTTCACCCGGTCCTTCTTCCTGGTTTGAAATCTTTGGCTGTCTGACAGGCTGGGCCGCAATGACGTCACTCTCGGGCATATGCACGGGAGTCCCAGGCAACGGCACAAAGCTCTGACTAACAGCATGGGTATGCCATTCCTTCAGAGCGCATACACCAGCTTTAGACAAGAGCGAATATCTCGGAAATGATGCACGTTTTGGAGATATATACTTTATTATAAACTTACCTGTAGGTAAAATTAAAAAAAAAAACAAGTTTATTACCACTTTAATTTAAAATTAACTTATTAGTAATACTGTATATGATGCTAAATTTATAGACATGACTCTGAAAACACTTATTTGATGCATGCCTTTTTATTCCTAACAAAAGCACAGATCTGTTAAGATGATAACTCTATGCTTTGCATTGCTTGGCGTTTCTAAGTAATCATTAGACTAGTGAGGTCAAGCTTGTTAATTCTGCTGTCGCTGTTAGAATTTCTATCTAACATAAAGCTCTAGGCCCAGTACTTAAAGTGCAGTGAAACCACCTTATTATATAATCTTGTACATATTATACTTGACCTCCACGTAAAGTACTCTTTCTTTAATAATTCTAGCGAGGTCATTAATTTCAGAGATCAGACAACTTAGAAGTTAAGATCTTGTTTCAGCTTCATAAACTCATTTATGAAGTCATTCTAGTTTCAGCATGTGTTTATTTTATCATGAAAATTTAAAAATGCTGCTGATATCGTGTTGCACTATCAATAGAAATGGTATATTCTATATTGCTTTCTACTGCTGGAAAATTGCAGAGGAAATTAGGAAAATATATTTAAATGTTACATTGTTTCTTGTTTTTTTATACTTCTGTATTCTTTACACCTATGTATACAAAGAACCATTAATAAAATGGTTGTTCACAGGCATGTTGCATTCAGCTGTAAATGCCCAGTAAATTGGCGTTAAAACACGTTATAGAAGCATAACAATGTATTAATACCTAGTATTATGTTCTTTACATAAACCATAACCTACTAATGGTTTGGTTGGGGCTGTCCATATGTTATGGAATGTGGCCAGCATCTTGCAAAACAGAAATAAATTAGAGCAAAGGGCAAGAAATAAAATTGGGAAAGGTGACATGTCCATTGCAAGTTTTGCACCCACTAAGGTCTATCCACAGAAGCAGGCATTTACACCACTTCTCATTGCAGATACTCCATGGGCTCAGCAGTAGACATGACATTCTACAAAGCAGGTCAGCTAGCAGCAGACAAAGCAGTTCTTAGGTCACTTCTCAAACCAGGGCAGTTCAGATGTCAGCCATGACTTCAGAGTCCCCCATATTTTCTATCTTCATAGTCCTAAGTATTATTCTAGTGACAGCTGAGGCAAGAGTAAGGCATGTGACAGGCCCTCAGAGTCTAAACAATCAAAGTATACGTAAACCCTCACCTTGTAAAACAACCCATTTAGTTTAAAATATAAATAAAATGCAAAACATTTGTGTATAGATATAAAAACATTATTAACACTTTTATTTATTTTTTTTTACTTTTTTTTGTAACTGATCACATTCCCTCTGGTCTCAGCTGCATAAGAGATGAGGGAGGTGAAACAGCAACACCCTGACCTTCCCAGTGAATGGCTTTGCAGAGGAGGCATGTCAGATCAAGTTTGATCATTGAAGGAGAGCAGGTTGAGTTCCCAGCATAGCTAGAGAACTGACCACAGTGTGTTCTCCTGCCTAGTGTGGTCAGTTTTTAATTGGAAAGCACTGGGACTGGCAGGAACACCAGGGATTTCACACAAAGGATGCAATACAAAGAGAACAGGATACTTTCTTTACAAGTACATGGCACATATCAGGAATGGGAAATGTGGGGGTACCATTCTGTAATTATACTTTGTTTTCTGGTCTTCCTCATTCTAGTCCACCTTACAATAATTCTCTTCAGACCTTACACAGATTCAGATAATAGTGAGGATGATGAGGATTATGACACACTTGTAGCAAGAATCAAAATTGTCTGAATCTACAAAAGAGGTAACATCCAGCATGCAGAGGAATTTTGGGACATAAACCTGAAATTGATGCTGTAGTTGTAATATACTGTACATCATTGTCAAATCTGGGAACTTTAGAAATCAGAGAGCCTAAAGCCTCTTACATACTTGTTCAATAGATACCAGCCGACACTCGGCCTGTGTTTACGCCAGCTGGTTCGACAGAAGCTGGATGAACGTCTGGCTTCTTTTGAAGGAACATGACCAAAAAAAGGACTGCCGATCAACATCCGAGCACTGACCAGTGTGTTCTGGTGGAGCTACTGTGTCAAACCACAATAGCTCAGCGGGGAGATCTCTGTACTAACATTGGATTGTTAGTGCAGGATCTCCTCCCAAGCTCTTCATTTTTTTTCCCGTTCGGACCGATAGGTTTAATGGAAAAAAAAAAAAATCGATTAGCGTGTACTATGTTTAAGTATTCTGGGAGGGTGGCTTCCGGGGGCTAATATGTATGTTTTGTGCAGTGAAGAAATGTGGGTATAGTAACTGCAACCTGAAGAATTTAGTGATAGCACACTGGTTAGTCAGAGTTTATGAGCTATGATATATGTCTGTCATGTCTAAATCCAAAAACAAACATTTTATTGTATGGTATTCAGCTCTACAGTCAATGGTGTCGAGGTGACAGCACTAGATCTTTTTCCCTGTATCTTCTTCTGGCAATCCAGCAAACAGCACACTTTCTGTTCCTTCGTGGCTACACTCACTCTTCCAGTGTAATAATGAAGGAAGCCATGGTTGTCTGATTTTTAAGTACGTTTGCCTTTGTTCATATCCATTAGTTGGGGGATGGGGAATGTAGTAGTTTAGAAGTTTATCTCACAGGAATTGACAAGGTTACTGTATTTCTTACAAGATCAACAGGTATTTTTTGTGCTTGCTGAAAATTATCCAGAAAAAGAAAACTAGTGCAGCTACCTCGAAGACTGGTGATAAACTGCAATATATTACATTTATGTTTTAGATGTTAGTCATCCTTTAAAATCTAAAGTCTGGCTATTTAACAAACAAAGCAAATTAGTAAAACATGTACTTGAAGCATCACATTTCATCACATTTCCAATCAGATGCAGCACTTCCTTTAAATGTGATATTGCCTAGGCAATGGCACTGCTCTTCTAGTCTCACATGAGCCTTTAGATGTTTGATAGGCATACTCCATTTACCCCTGCTTCAGATTTCTCGACAACATTGATGGTGTCATCAAAGGGTAGGGTCTAGAAGCGGGAAAAGCTGTTCTATAGAAACACTGAAACACAGCAACATCAAGATTGTGTCTATTGTGTGTTATATCTCATTCAAAACTGAATTGACTCACACTGAAGGAAAATATCACTTGAGTCTAGGTTCGCTTTAAAACTTTAGCACAGGCAGACTATATATATATATAATATATATATATATATATATATATATATTTACTCATACACACACTAAATTGCCAAACGTATTGGTACACCCCTCCAAATCATTGGTTTCAGGTGTTCCAATCACCTCCATGGCCACAGGTGTATAAAATCAAGCACCTAGGTATGCAGACTGCTTCTACAAACATTTGTGAAAGAATGGGTCACTCTCAGGAATTCAGTGAATTCAAGCTCTGGTACCGTGATAGGTTGCCACCTGTGAAATTTCCTTGCTACTTAATATTCCACAGTCAACTGTTAGTGGTAATATAACAAAGTGAAAGCAACTGGGAACAACAGCAACTCAGTCACGAAGTGGTAGGCCACATAAAATGACCGAGCGGGGTCAGCACATGCTGAAGCGCACGGTGCACAGAAGTTGCCAACTGTCTGTAGAGTCAGTAGCTAAAGACTTCATAGAATGGGATTCTATGGCTAAGCAGCTGCAGTGGTGTAAAGCACACCTCCACTGGACTCTAGAGCAGTGGAGATATGTTCTCTGGAATGATGAATCATGCTTCTCTGTCTGGTAATCCGATGGACATGTTGGGTTTTGGCGGTTTCCAGGAAAACGGTACTTGCCTGCCTGCAATGTGACAAATGTAAAGTTTGGTGGAGGGGGGATTATGGTGTGGGGTTGTTTTTCAGAGGTTGGGCTTGGCCCCTTAGTTCCAGTGAAGGGAACTCTTAAGGCATCCGCATACCAGGACATTTTGGACAATTTCATGCTCACAACTTTGTGGGAACAGTTTGGGGATGGCCCCTTCCTGTTCCAACATGACTGCTCATCATTGCACAGATCAAGGTCCATAAAGACATGGATGAGCAAGTTTGGAGTGGGAGAACTTGACTGGCCTGCACAGAGCACTGACCTCAATATGATAGAACAC